TGTTAATTCCATCATATATTTTTGTGTTCGTGTATTCTTTTGCTCATAACATATGCGCACACCATGACCTTCCATGTTCCCCTCCAGGAATGCGTACGTCACAGGTCAACAGAAATGGCGCTCAATATATCCGCCGCTCATCACTTCGAATTTTTGTAACAGGTTATATTAGTTGAATACAGAGTATTGTGATACATAGTAAGTTCCAGGATAGCAGAAAAAGGTTCGTGTTTAGAATAAACCCAGTTTTGAAGTTCTAGTCTCTGAAAATGCACCAGCAAACCGCCCTGAGTGATTCACTGAGGGGTTCCTCCACAGAAAACCATAGGCTCTCGTTGTAACCCTATCCTGTGTTTGGGTTACATTATTGTATCTAACCAATGCCCACACCAATGATTTTGGTGGATTTGGTGGGACTAACCACAGGTACTTGGGTTCAAGGATAGAGATGATGTCCAGGACGGTGATTGGATAGGATGATGTTTATTACTGGACATGCTCTCTATCCTTCAGCCGGCACTTGCGACTGGCTGGTCGGGGTTTGATAAATAGCAACCCCGTTCTGCGCCTACCGTAGTGTGTATAAGAGTGTAGCCGGGGTTTGATAAATAGCAACCCCGTTCTGCGCCTACCGTAGTGTGTATAAGAGTGTATAACAGTATATGAGTACATCTCATATGCACTCTTAGTTATACACACTACGGTAGGCGCAGAACGGGGTTGCTATTTATCGAACCCCGGCTACACTCTTATACACACTACGGTAGGCGCAGAACGGGGTTGCTATTTATCGAACCCCAACCAGCCAGTCACAAGTGCCTGTGGCTGTGGACTAACCCACACCAAATCCACCAGAATCGTCGGTGTGGTCATTGGTCAGAGGAAACTCGGACTAGCTGATGGGGTGCCGGCTTGATTCATTCAATCATTGAACTCTAGGCCTAGTGCTCAGACTGAGAGTCATAAGTTAGTCTTCAAAAGTCCTACTTCTAGGGACTGTAATGGAGACAGAGAGAGAAGTGGATCAAATCGATAGATCAACACTGCGGATTGCAGCGGCAAAAGTTGCAAATTTGCAATTTACCAAAGATGAAGGAAGAGTCTAGAGAATTCCAATACGGAATGACAGAAACAAAGAAGCTAAACTTAAAACTAAAAGGATCCTTTAATATGGCATGCTCTGGTCTAGTACTAGCATGACTATTTGTATTACAAATTATGTATGCTGTTACCCCTCTCCTGCCGCAGCGGTAGCGATCCCACTTGTTGCTATTCTCCCCTCAGAGCTAATGTGCGTAATGCACATGCATGTATCATGACATTATTCTAAAATACGACACGCACTTCAAAAGTTTTGATAATAAGTGTTGATGTCTAAATCCCTACAGCCACCGTCAATAACTGCAACAAACAAATCAGTCTGCCAATCTGCCTGCATTTCTATTGCCAGTATTGGTCTAATAACAGCTACACTAGAGATTAGCAAACAGTGGAACCGCTACCGGTACCAGGAGATGAGCAACACCGAATAACGAAATGTGTAACCCGACAAGGTGCAGAGAAGTACTGAAGGTCTTGGTGGCACCACGTTTGGATGAAGTACCTTGGTCAGAGTACACAGTGGAGGCAATTATGTGAACCACTACAATATCATTATGTTGAAAAAAGATTGCAAGTTTGAATTAGCTTTCAAGTTCATGATGATATCACGTGACTCTTGCGGGTCGTGTATGGGAGGTGTTAACCACCCAGCAAGTCATTTCAGTAGTTACAGTGATAATGGTAGTCGGCTGTCTAACGAGGATTTCATTGGTCGATGTGACATGTTACTTCCTACTGTCCATTGCTGGATAGGTTAGTCATATACTGTATACGCTGTATATTTTGCGGTGGTTTAATTTTCGTGAATTTCGCCAGCGCGTCCCCGACCGCGAAAATAACAACACGCAAATAAATCATACCGAATAATTCATAATTCACCGACCGCGAAATTAACCACTCGCGAAATTGTTCGTCAAGTCTGAATTCGCGAAAATATCTGTACGCGCAAAATATGGCGTATAGAGTACCAGATTCAATTGCATGTTTGAAGTAACGAAGTTTCTAACAGTAACAGTGTTTTCATGATGTCATATTTTTATGTTGATGTTAGTAATAACTTAAATTGACTACGTCACGAATTTTCTATGGTAAAATTTGTTTAAAAAAAAGCCATTTTTTTACATTAAAAGTAAGAACTAACGTTACTAAATATATCCTCGAACTCTCACCTGATAAAAAATGTTTGTACGTTGGTTCAATTTGCAAAAATCTTGATGATTTGGTAATTTCTGTTGTCTAACACTATTCCCCCAGTACTGTTCAGATACTGGCGTCTCTCGGTTTTTCACCGGCAAATTAGGGCATATAAAGAAGGTATATAAGCCTGAAAAGTAAACAGAAACACTAATTGTATTTTCATACATTTTATTTTTTACAAATAACACACAAATATACTGCTTGATGATGCTAGAAATTCGTGACGTAATCACTTTAATGCAAGGAATCTTACGATTTGTTTGAAATTCAATGCTACACGATCAGATGTAGATCACAGTGAGTTAACCAGCTTTGGCAGGTGCGAAATATCGAAGTAAAAAGTGGTAAAAATTGAAAGTATGCCAGTTGGTCTAGCCAGTGCGTAGACACTCTAGAGTCTAGTATATAAACACAATCTATAGTGTATCCATTAACAATTCGTTCTATTAAGACTGACTCCTCAAATAACACTTGTTTTCCGCTGAATAGGTGCAGCCGTTTGCATCAGTGAAAGGTGTAATAGAGTCATCTAGGGCGTGCTGAAATGGATTTTCAACACAGAGCTGGAGGTAAGACGGGCACGGGCGGAGTGGCATCATGGTCGGAGAGCAACAGGGACCGTCGCGAACGCCTCCGGCAACTCGCTCTCGAAACTATCGATCTGAACAAGGTTAGTCCCGCTCGCCTAGATTTTTCAGGCAAGGAATGCCGATAGAAACTAGGTTCAATGATAGTGTTTTTGTTGAGTTGTCAAGTGTGCATGAAAATGTTATTGAATGTTAAAGAAGAAAAAGAAAGACATTGGTATAGGTTTAAGACATATTATCAGTTAAATTGACTCTTATGTTATACTACATAAACAAATTTTGTGGTTCAATTTTCACTAGAAAATGTTGTTAATGTCTGTCTAATAATAAACATGAGTGTCTGATAACAGATAAATGTACACTTTATAATATTTAATAAGTGTAATAAAATACTCTCTAATTCTAAACCAGTGTTCTACTTTGCGTAATATCGGTAAAGTTCTCAAAGTTCATTTAAGTGCTTGTGCAGTTCATGATTACTAAAAAATGTGAAAATGATATTAGTTGTTGGTAGTACTTTTCTATGCGATTGCTAATGTTACTACATTGCAATGTATATTGTAAATTTATCAGTGATGTTGTGATTATTTTATTAGGATCCATACTTCATGAAAAATCATCTGGGTTCGTATGAGTGCAAGCTCTGTTTGACTCTACACAACAATGAGGTAAGTGTCTTTAGCCAATATGATCAGGTTTAAACACATCTCTAGCATTTGACGGTATGGAAAAAGGGGTATTGTTAATTGTGATCCGTGCAAAAGGATTTGATTGGTAACGTCTATAGTTGCAAAGGTTGCATGTATGTTTGTAAACTTCCAAATAAAAATTTGAACTGCTGTATGTTTAATGTGATGTAACTTTATTGAAATAATATGTTTCACAGATGTCAGCCAATAATTTAACTAAGTTACCACAGTATATTTTGTATGAAAATGGCATTCCTTATTTCTTTTATATTTTCCCAGGGAAGTTACCTTGCACATACACAAGGCAAAAAGCATCAAGCCAACTTGTAAGCACTCTTTAAAGCACGCATTCAATTCACTAGCAGCTAAAGATTTGAAAAGCATCTTTAGTCATTACTATATAGACAAATAATTTTACTCCAAAATTTTTAAGTTGATCTCAAAGAGTTAGGGATTTATCGAAATTTCTACTCGTTATGCACAGTGAGGTAAACTAACGGGTTGTTTGCAGATAATTTTTTCAACTAGTATTACTGTACTGCTTTTCAATATGTTTTACGTAGGAGAGCTAATCAGGAGGTTGTTTTAGTTGTGAATTGATGATAACGTCCTTGTTTGCAAATGCAGAGCACGGCGTGCTGCAAAAGAAGCAAAGGAAGCTCCCGCACAGCCCGCGCCAGAGAAGGCACGTGTGGACATTCGTAAATTTGTTAAGATTGGTCGACCTGGCTACAAAGGTATCAGTTTAGATTACTTATAGATTCCTTATTCTTTATCTTTTTCTTTCTTATTTTTTATAAGATTATTTAGATTTCTTAGATTCTTGAGATTTTTGCTCTCGGTCATTGCATTGGCCTATGTATTTTTGATTCCCGTTAGACAACAGTAAGAAAATTAATGTTAAGTTATTGCACTGGAAATTATTGTAAAATATATTGTGACGAGATACCTCAGTCCTAAACTGCTATACTTGTCAATTGCTTTTCAGTCACTAAACAAAGGGATCCAGATTCTGGGCAACAAAGTCTCCTATTTCAGGTGTGTTTTATGACTTTAAAGGACAGGGTTTTAGTTCTCGTTAGTACACCTTGAACAATTACGCACAGCTAGTGGTTAAGCTATCAAACCCTGCCACATGTCTTATTGTTATTTATGTGCATGCAATTGTTGTTAATGTTATTGTTGAAATCAGCATCTTTAATTTGGCTAACCATTAACAACAAACAATACCTTATTCTTTAACAATTGGTATATTTAAAAACTTACTATGTTGTAACAAAGGTAAATGTATGTTTTTAAGACAAGCCAACGGTTGAAATACAAGAATATGGGTGTTGCTGATGAGTTGTACAGTACCCATCAACAATCACAGTATAGGCAACTAACAATTTTTGTGCTGCTTGATCCTTTTAGATTGATTACCCAGAGGTAGTAGATGGTGTTGTTCCAAAACATAGATTCATGTCTGCATACGAACAGAAGGTGGAACCACCTGACAGAAAATGGCAATATTTGCTATTTGCTGCGGAACCATATGAGACTATTTCATTCAAGGTATAGATTTTGTGACTGCTATGTACCTTCTATGTTCGTACGTATTATGTTAAATTATAATGCATTTGGCAATGGTAGTTTCACCAATACAGTGCAATAGAATACAATACAATCCAACCGATTATAGTGAAGGTTATTTAAAATGTATATAGACGTTCCTTTTAATAGTATTTATTAGTTATCTTAGTGGTATGTTTGGTAATAACCAACTTCATTATTCATGAAATTAATGCTTGGTTATGCGACTATTAAACTGCTAATGCACTTGCCAATATCATACATCTAGATAGTATCTGCAGGTAACCAAGTTGTTCTTTCTTCTTGTAGGTCCCAAGCAGAGAGGTTGATAAATCAGATAAGAAGAGATTCTGGACTTTATGGAATAAAGACACAAAGCAGGTATAACAATCAATGTATCCTAATATGTTATGTAAGTATTTTGGACTAGTTGATAGGATGTGGTCATGGGTAGCTGGTGGCTTATTATTGTTATGGTGGCATTCTTTTTGATTCCTTATTCTGTTTATTCATGTACGCCTATTAATTTTTTAATGAGAGCACAAACTATTGTAATTGTTGTTTTTTTGCCTCTCGTTTCAGTTTTTCCTGCAGTTCAGCTTCAAGGCAGATCAACGGCAGGAGCCATATCAGAGAGATCTCCCGAGGCCCCCTCCTCCGGCTGCAAGTCAACCTCCACCTGCTCCTCAAGGCCCCCCACCCCCAGCCGGACCACCTCCAGCGGGACCACCCCCTGGTATGCGCCCTCCTGCCCCCCATGGCCCTCCTCCGCTGCAGAGCAATCTACCTACGCAGGGTGGGCCACATCCTCCTCCTGGACCACATCCTCCTCCTGGACCACCTCCCCCTCGAGGCCCTCCTACTAGCATGCCCCATATGCCTCCCCCACCACCTCCACCAATGATGAACTTTGGAGGTCCTCCCCCGCGTTAATGTGCCGTTGTTATGTGGTAGAATCGTAAATATTGCTCGTTTTTGTGTCATTAGTGAAAGTCAGCATTCCAGGAAATTGCTGTTTTTGAGTTTAAATCACCTTTATAACTGTCGCACAACCAGATTAGAAAATTGTAACACTGTAATTCAAGTTAGTATTTGCGAGCTTGATTTAAGAAATGTGGTAATGTATGCTAGACTTTGGTTGTTACAGTCAAATAAAACTATCATGAGTTTCTTATATGAATATTGTCTCATCATCACCTATCGCTTAGGAGTGTGATCTGTTGTGTTTCCCATGTGGTCAGTGCTTGTAGTTGAAGTTTTTGTCCCAATATCTAGCCTTGTGCTAGTTAATTAAAGGAACGTGTAATTTTATACATCATATTTATTCCAAATTGGTTTAAATCAACTGTTAAATTACTCTGATGTAATATACAATTGAAATTGACATTATAAAGGTGCAGTACAACTTCAACTGCAAAAATAACGTCCAATGTGTTCTGCATATAGATTAAAATGATACACATATTATAATGATCATAGCATCAGTCTGACCAAAATGCTCATGTATGTATAATTTCAGTGACCAACACATTAAGTGGACTGATGGTGCACTTACTATACACCCAAATATGCACAAGTGAAAAATTATTGTTATTCGTGGAGATTTCTTCGCACTTTGTCTTCGTTATAGTCCGTTTGGCTCTGAAGAGTTACCATTATATTACGAGATTACAGAAGATTGCAATATTTTAAAAACCATTTGCATTTAATTCACCATGCACAAGAACCAGCAACAATCATATTTACTTTGGACAATTTCTACAGATTCCTTCCCCACAATTTACCTTCGCGCTTCTCACTACGTTTACTTAGCCGCAGATCTGAGGCCTTCCTCAGCCTATCGCATTATTAAGAGTTTGCGTTTTGCGCCACAAGAGGGCACCATGTGACAGCGTACTTGTTGAGATTTGAGAAGCTGTAGCAGATTGTTGTTTGGCAATGTTGCTCATTGTATGTGAATTTTCGGGCATTCTGACAGGTATTACCCTAAACTTACTATATTGACTGAGTGTCGTTTAATTTTATGGCGTGTTAATATGATGGCATGAAGTTAGGTAAGAAGCCGTGTCCTATTCAGCAAGTAGGCCTAAGTGGCAAGTATTGAATAGGTATCGAGTTAATTCATAATAATTAATATTATTATTATTATTAAGGCAGTGGCTACGGGTACGCCAGCCGTATCTTAATGTCTCGAGGCTACGGGTACGCCAGTCCATTCGCTTTCATACTTAACGAGACAAAGATGGCGGCGGTGGCGCTAGATTTCGAAATAACGCCTTGGGAAATAAATTCACGATTTGAGAGTTTAGATGAGCAAGAACCCTAACCCTAACCCTAAACCTAACCATAACCCTAAACCTAACCCTAACCCTAATCCTAACCCTAACGCAAAAAAGGGGCTTGAACGACCGACGGCTGGCGTACCTCCAGCCACTGCGTATTATTAATTGCATGGTACATAGGCGCATTAATGATTATGGCATACACGCCAACCCTACCGCTTTACGCGGTAGACTACCGCTTTTTGAAGACTTCTACCGCCTACCGCTTTTAATACTATTCCTACCGCATTGCAAAATATTTTGAAAAAACTTTCTTTTTTTTTTTTTTTTCATTTTATCTCTAATAAATGTATGTAATGTATCTCTAATGTATTCTATTGCAGTCTAATTACTCCCCAGAATGCAGGAGAAGGCACCATTTAGCACCATTTTTTGAAAATTTTCCTGGGGGGGCATGCCCCCAGACCCCCCTAGCGGCGCGCGCGACTGCGTCGCACGCGGATCTACCACTTTTCATTCAAAATAGGTTGGCATGTATGTTGTTGTACACTACTAGTACCAGGACTCAGGAGTAAGATAATATAGGATCTTATAGATATATATTGGTATAGATATAGATATATAGATATATAAAAAAATAATGGTAAATAAACACGAAATGTACCAAAGTCTTAATGTTTCTCTACTCTATTTCGCCTATAATCACCTGTAAATGCCGGTCAAATGCTCATCTGCAACACACAAGTACACCGCACACCCGCCTTGTGCTGCGTGCACAAACAACATGAATAAAAAGAGATTATTCATGTTCTCTTACTCACGCTCATGTTCTCTTACTTCACTTATGTTCTCTTATTCACGCTCTCTTATTCATGTTGTTTGTGCACGCAGCACAGCGCGGGCGGGCGTGCGGTGTACTTGTGCTGATAGGGTCTATGTCCCCCAGGGTACTGCCGGAACGTACCCTGGGTACGGTCCGGTATACCAGAACGTACCCTGGTAACTATCTAGCTGATATGGTTAGGGTTAGGGAGTAGACGTAGGCGATTCCCTATAGGCTATAGACTCGGTAGTGGAGTAGGCGAGGTACGGTCCGGCATATTAGATAGTAGTATTTAGTACCAGGGTACGTTCCGGCAGTACCCTGGGGGACATAGACCCCATCAGCTGTACTTGTGTGTTGCAGATGAGCATTTTTTACAGGTGATTATAGGCGAAATAGAGTAGAGAAACATTAAGACTTTGGTACATTTCGTGTTTATTTACCTTTTTTTTTATTGAGACGTTCCAAGTGCCTGTGCACTACCCCCTATTATAAGTCAGAACAAAATAAAGATAAGGTCCAGTTTTGGTCTCATCTGTTTTGGTAAACTGTGTGCTGTGTAGTAGGCCTAAATGTCTTTTGGTTGCTCATTAATATGTAATTATCAAGTCATAAAAACGTTAACAAGCATTAGTTACTTAAATTAAAATATGCAGCATCTGCTAGACAAATGATAGTGATAGTAGCGAAGCTGATCGCTTGCGCCATATTGTCTATATTTGAGCAACCATCATTTTAATCGAGTCAATGTAGCCACTTTCAGATGACGTAACTTTTAATATAAATCATATTATGAAATCAAACTTTGTAGTCTAGATGAGAAGCGCCTCAACTGTTTATGTTATTATTTTCAGAATTTTTACCGTAAGCGTTTTTGAGATAGAATGTGCTAAAAACCCAACAAAACGTAAACCGGGCTAGCAGCGACCTGGCATGAAGCGCGCAGCACCGAAATTTTTCGAACGCGACCCAACTTCAAGCCTTTTGGGGCAGTATAAGAATCTATTCATATGACTTGTTATTGATATAATAACGTATGCCATACCTTAATCTATCCCTGTATGGGTGCTCCTAAGTTTTAAAATGATTATATAATTGTGAAAATTGCGTTTTTATAAAACAAACACTTCAAAAACAACATTCTCGACAACGCACAAACTTCGATCACCCACGATAGATACACAAATAGTGCATTATTTTTTGTCATGATTGTGATCCTTGAAAAATAGCCATCGCTGAGATTTCGTCACTTGTTGAGTATTTCTGCCTGCTGTTACCAGGGGCATCGTCGATCTGTTTTCAGGATTTGGGATGCAAAACTGAACAAAATCTTGAGGAAACCTATTAGTCTATCAGCTGGGGGAAGTCCTGTGTGCATTTATATGTCCCCGCAGTTTGACGCTTGATTCATGTAGGGGACACCCCTGGGAGTAAAAAAAACTTGGGTAGACATTCTGAATCATGGGAAGGATAGGTGAAATTCAA